GTCCAGACAAAATATTCTTCACTTAAGTTATAACACCCTGCTGTTGTAGCATGAAAATAATCATAAACAATGCATATAGCAAAGGGCATGACTATGTTTCAATAAAACTTGATTTACAAAAACAGACTGTGGGCTAGATTTGGCTCATGGATCTAATTGGCCAACCTCACTATCTAAAACAGTATAAAATGAACAGTATTCCTGCTTATTGGGATAAGGCTATGGGAGGAACTGTAATTCCTAAGGTCTAGCACAGTACTTGATATTTATTGAATGACTAATTTAACAAATAACTGGAGAGAGAATATTGTTCAAGGTCTTCTTAGTTCAGCAATTCTCAGTTCTATAAAAGTCTAATGTGATTAAAGGTCTAATGTGACTATTCAAGGAGACTAGAGTCACTGATATTAAAGTTAGAAAACTTAAAGATCGAGTAATCCATCAACTGTACATTTTTTAGATCATTTTATTATTACATGTTTCCATTACTTGTGTGGAGTAGGTTCATGTACATAACACATTTTAATTCCTTTTTTCTATCCCCTTTCCCTCCTCCACACCTCTTGATGTCCCTCCCCTTTGAGAAAAATTTACCTCTTTATTTCCTATTATCTATCTTTTATTTTGCTCTGTATTTATACTGTGGGTTTCTTTAGAGAAAAAGCAACATGGAAAGGCAATGTATGAGTGAAGAGTCAAAATCATAAAGCTGAAGAGAATTTTCTTATGAAAAGTAGAAAGTGAAATAGGAGAATACCGCACTGGATCAGTAGGGTAACAGTGACCTCTTTAAGGGGTGCTCATCAAGGTGACAGAGAGGGGTCTACTGAGGAAGATGATAAGACTATGGCAGGAAAAAATAATAAATGATAGAAAGCTTAAGTTGGAAAAAAAAAAAAAGAGAGTGAGTCTAAAAGTACAAGATGAGCTCACTGCCAAGCCTTTGTCCATACAGTGTTCATATGTTGCAGTACCAGGGGTAGGCAGAGCTAGGTGCTTGCCTGGTTCTGTCAATCAGGACACCATAGGTATGGATAAGCTAGCAATGACTCAATAGACTCTACGGGAAATTTCAAAAAGAAAACGTAGCAATTGATAGAGAGGAAGTGGTATACAAGAAATCAGAGACAGAAAGCAAGGGAGAAGCTATATTTGGGAAGTCCTCCTGTAAGAAATTAAGATTTTTCACTGCACCTGCCTTTGATCCCAGGTACAAAAAAAAAAAAAAAAAAAAAAAAGTAAGGTTTTTGTCCTTTAAGCTGTTTTGAATTGTTAGAAGTTCTAAGCACTTTGGTGATCATAGATGGAATAAATTAAAGAAAGGTCACCAGTGACCAGGGGCTAGTATAGGACTGAGTCTTAAATTTACTTAGTCATACAAGTATTTAAAAAGCATATGATATATGCCCAACGCTGTGATGTGTGAAAGAAAGGAAATAAAAAACAGACAGTTGTGATCCTCATGTTATCAGTGTGGTTAAAAAGAACATATACAAAATGACTACCAAACAGTGTGATGAACTATGGAGGCACAGAAAGGTAGTACAGAAAAAGAGTATTTAACTCTCAAGAGAAGGCCTTCAAGATCTTAACAATTTTTTTAGACTTTTCAGGTATGAGTTACTTATGTGGTCTTCAAAAGAAGATGACCACAAATTTACTCATCTTTAGAATTTGTAGCTCAAAAGAGAGGAAGACAGCAATCAGTACTTAATACTATACTTACTACATGTTAATCAGTGCCCTAGGTGCTTTATGTACATATTAATTCAATTAATACAATAACCTTAAGGGTATATTCTATTATTATTTTCATTTCATTTTTTAAAAAACCTGAGAAACAAAGAGGTAGTTACTCATCCATAATCATAAGGTTAGTAAGGAGTAAAAACCAGGATTTGAATCTCAGCAGTTAGATCCCACATTACTCTTCTTAGATGAAGAGAGATTTCCTATACAGAGGTAACTGATATAGATAAGGTTCCCTCAAGCAAAGGGTATAGACTGAGAGAAAGTCTGATAATGCAAGCCAATAGGATGGAAGCAATAAAGTTTCAAATAAAGGATGAACTAAAATAAAGTCCAAAAAGAGTCCTATGTATTTGACAATAAGGTTATTGTAAATCACTGTTGAACAACTTAAAGGGAGTGTTGGAGGCAAAACAAAGGGCACAGAGGTAATGCAAGGTAAAGTAGCACAGAACACATATTAATCACTCTAACAAAAATATGGCTACAAAAAGAACAAATAGCAAGTTATAGAGGGCAGCAAGAGGGAGGCTGGCTCCAAAGAGGGGTTCTTTTCTTTTTGTCTAATTGGAAAAATGATGAACATATCATCAGAACAAAGGTATTATGAGAGAGGGAACAGAGATTGAGGCTATTAGGGTAAAAAAAAAAAAAAGAAAAAGATCACTGATTTGAGTTTCTAGAAAAGAGCAAATAAGGGAGCAGCTTTAAGTGTGAAGATGAGCTGAGATTTGAGAGTTTATGCTTAGTGGCCTCTCATCTTTATGAACAGAAGGTGAGGTTCAGAGAGTAGCAGAAAACTCTAATTTGTGGAATATTCACTAAAAGGAACAGGAAAATAAACATATCAAGGACCAAAAAATTTCTGAGATATAAAGCCAAAGAGGAATAGAATTTTAAAAAGCCATGCACATAGAGGGCATCAATTTTTTTGGTTGAGGATTATTTTTTCCTGCTATGTTTAGCAACTCAGGTAGGAAAGTACAAAAAGGCAGATATAACTAATACAGGATTTGAAGTTTGCAGAATGGTTATAGCATAATGTCAGGGTAGGACACCAGGCTGGTAATTATATGAGGAGGTGAAGTCAAGAGACGATTTGCACCTTGGAGAAAAAAAACAAACACATCAAGGTTCAAGAAATACATGAACAAAGAACAGGATACGTGGAAAGGTGTTGGAGAGATAAGAACAATGATACAAGTAACTGAAAAAACATGGACAGCAGGATCCCTGAAGTCAACATGGTCAATAGCCACTGAGTATCAAGTACTGACTAGATTGTAAGGGGTAAGCGGAGAAATCTGTGAAATGTGATAAAATGTGTGAAGTACCCAAGAAAAAGATGACAAGGGTGAAAATGAATTAAATGCTGAGGGCTCAAAGGAGAGATTTTGTCTGAAAGTTAAAAACTAATGCTTTGGGAACAGCACTGAAAAGCTAGGAGAACAATAACTTTTCCCTTCCAGTTTTGAGACAAAGGATGAGGAAGGAGGAGGATGTAGACTAAGCAACCCTCACTTTAAGTAATGCCAGAGAAGTGGTGATGCTGGGAAAGTGCCAAGTTTCAGTTAAGGCCAGGAGGGTAAGGAACACTGTGTGAAGAGGAACAGGGGCTCCAGAAGGCAGAGTAAAAAGGGTGGGAAGAAAGCTGTGGGAGGATGAACCAAGAGAAAAGTACAGAGCAATATGGGAACAAGATATGAAGACAGGAAGCCAGAAAGATTTACATTTTGGTTACTACAAAAAAAAAAAAAAAAAAGTGAGGGGCTGGGGATTTACCTCAGTGGTTCCACCACCTGCCTTGTAAGGGTAGGTACTGGAGTTTGATACCCGGTACCAAAAAAAAAAAGAGAGGGATAAAGAATCATAGGAAAAACTGAAGGCTCAGGATCAGAACTATGGAACAAAGCAGTTCTAGTAATGGGTCGAAGCATCCTGAATCTGATTTCTAATACTTTTTTAGATATTTTAGAAGCACAGATTCTTACCCAATGAGACCAAGTTGCCATAATTCTCCATCATGACATCTTTATAGAGACTTCTCTGAGCTGGGTCCAGATAATCCCACTCCTCCTGGGTAAAAAACACAGCCACATCCTCAAATGTCAGCAACCCCTGAAATAGTATGATTTCTGTAGTCAAATTCCTGTTCGATCCTATCACTTAAAGTGGCAGCAGCAATCAATTCAGATGGCTGAGTACACTGGATGGTACATAACTAAGTGTGCTAAAAGGTGCCCCACTCTGGGGACTGACTTAACAGACAGGCATCTCAAACTAGAAGGTAAATGGCCTGGATCTGTTATGGAAAGGAATTGGCAAGTTACACACAGAGAGGCAGTAGAATGGAAGTAAAATAAAAAAGTTTACTCCATTGAAGGGGACTGATGACACCTAATGGCGGTGCCCTGATGGACTCCCCCACTGGGTTACAATTCCTTCTTTTATAGCGTTTTAACAGCCTTGATCTTATTCAGTTGGTTACACTGCATTTTCACAGCTCTCATTGCTGATACCCAAAACATGGTGGCAAGGCAGTTGAATTCAAACCTGGAAGCAGTAGTCAGGGAAAGTTACCTGTAAGATTTATTCAGTTACCTAATCTAGCCAGAGGGAGGGTGTGTTTGGTCAACAAAGCTAACAATAGTTCTTTTCACTTAAAAAGCTTTTGGGGGAGACTAAGTGCCTCCCATACCGGTTAATTCTGAACTAAGCAGAATGAGGGGCAAAAGTTATCTTATATTATGACATTTCTTAAGTTTTTGCTATTAAAGTTTTCCCTATCAGATCCTTGTCCTTGTAAGAGAAGAACACAAGTATAAGGGTTTTCTGGTTTAATAATTATACACTAATATTTTAATTTTAATACACTGCCCCAAGGCCCCTCCAAGCTTCCTTCACTTACTGCCCTGCTGCAATTTTCTGTTCCCACTGACTGGTGACTACTAGAAACCTCTGCAGTAGTTTTCAGTCTCCTGCCCAGTGTAAGATAGAGGGTTGAAGAAAGACTCAAAGGCAGAATTGAAGAAAAAAGTAGGACGGCCAGTGCTGAGCAACCAGCAAAGGCCCTAGCCAGTTCATGCCACCGCTATTCTCTAATGACAGCATGGTCAAATTGGGGTAAAGGGGCCACGTGAGGAGACGTGCAGTTGCTATGGACACGTTACTGATGCAAGCAAGGCTTGTAAAGGAAAAGACAGAGCATTCTTGAATTAGGAACAGAACAGACAAAATATAGGGTTGTAGTTAGCAAATATCTTTGTCCTTCTAGTTTTTAACTGTGGGAAGGGAATTTGGGTAAAAGTTACTCTGACCTCTGTTCAGTAGGCCTGGGCCGAAGTTGCTCCTCAAAATAAGGGGTTAACTCTATATACTGCATTGCTCACAGCCTGCTTTGGGCATAATCAATAAGGCGGCCCCCTACAGTGACCCTACTAAATTCCATTCCATCAGTTTCTTTAAGCATCTTCTTTGGGTCCAGAATTGTGCCAGTGGCAAAGGACAGGTCAAAAATGGTGCCTTACCCGGAAGAACTCACAAATGAGAGCTAACCTGGAGCATTCCTAGTTTTTACCTGGCGATTACACAAGCTACACTTGAAAAAAAAGAGCCAGTGGGCAATGTGTAATGTGTAATCGCATCCCAGAGCACCGGAGCCGAATGGTGCTGGGTCCCTGCAGACTGCAAGGAATCTGGGGGCTGGGGTGAGGAGTGGTGGTGCAGCCCAGCTAAGAGAGTGGGAAGATAACGGGGATCCCCGGAAACAGCTATTTACCTTGGGCTCCAGCGGGGAACTCGCGGAGGCCATCTCCCGGCTTGAGAACTGGTGCGCCTCACGGAAAGGAAGCCTTTCTTGTGAGGCCTAGCTGGCTGCTGGAAATCGGGCCCCACGCAGATGAGGCTTCCAGCCAGGTCCTGCCCCGGTCCCACGGCGGTCACGTTCCTAGCAGCATATCAGACCCGCTCCCAGACTGCATCCCAGCCCTCAGCCCTCAGCCCCTCTCCCCTGCCGGGTAGCGAACTCTTTCAGGGAGGCCTAGCTAGAGTCTCCTCCGGGTTACCAGTGCCTCCTCCTTACAGCCAAACAGCTCTAGGACCGCCCGCCCCTGGACCAGAAGGCGTCACCCGGAACCTTTCCGAGTTGCCCTCCAACTACAACTCCCACCGTGCTTCGAGAGCTCGCCACAGCCCCGCGTCCGCCGGAAATGGTTGCGGGACTACATTTTCCAGTGTCCAAAGGAGGCGACGACCGGAAAAGGGGGGGACTGTCCAAACTTGCACAAGATTGGCTGATCTGGGTGCGTCGCGACCCAGCCAAAGAGGCGTTCAAGCGACCCCGTCTCTCCTCCAATATGGCGCCGCCGTGTGTCTCCGGTTTTGCAAGAAGAGGCTTGATGTGCATGGTCACAGCGGCGGCACGTAGAGAATTTTGGTCTCGATCCAGGTAAAGCTGATAGTAGGAGGTTGGGTTGAGTTCAAGAAAAGTAAGGAAAACTGAGGAAGATGAAGGGATGAGTTTCGAGGGGGAGACATTCTGAGCCTGATTAGAATAAGAAAGTGCATTAGAGTTCCAAATTCAGAAGTTCGGGGTCGGCCCCTAGAGGGGTGAGGACCGGTCACTTTTCCTCTCCGTTTGTTTTCTCCTAACGGCAATCCTGTCTCTATTCCTTTCTACCTCATTCGTGTAATTTAGCAAACAATATTGACCACATGTGCGAGGCACCAGGTGTGCAGGTTTAGAAGGTTGCGCCTAAAACATGCACTCACGACAAAGTGCTTGGTAAACTAAACTCATTTTTAAGGCATATTCCTTGACATACAGATTCAGACATGAGTGCATCCTTCTATTTTGTTTATTTCTTGATCCAGTTATTCACTGAACAATTAGTTACTAAGCGCTTTCCCTAGTCTGGCGCTGCTTACCCTTGTAGTGCAGGACACAGCAGAAGCAAAAGCCTTGCTCAACCCTTGAGTATCCTGATGTAGGAAGAAAAGAAAATATTTTTTCAAAAAGAGGTATTTTTCCAAACTCATAAACCAAGTTAAACTACGTCTTGTGGATTTATTGAAGATAAATCTCTTTGACATAGATAATGTTTAGGGCACTAGAACTTGCTGTGGTAATCACAGGGAACAATATATGACCTCAGTTTCAAAAATTTGTCTTAATAGTCCAGAAAGATTTTTGGCATTAGCTCAGCATTACACTTTCTCTCTTCTTTGGTCAATGTTATGGTCTGGCAGAGGTCCCCATTTTTTTTTCTTCATTCACTCAACAAAGAATCTTTTTTGCGGGTGCGGGGCGGTACTGGGGATTGAACTGGAGACCTTGCTTTTGGGAGGCAGGCGGCAGAAATACTGAGCTAAATCCCTGGCCCTGAGATTCTTTTTTTTTCAAACAAATATTCTTAGTGTCTACTATATTCAGGCTATATTCTAGGTTTTAAGGTTACAGTGATTAACCAAACTTTGTCCTCATAGAGCAAATGTTCTAGCAGATGAAAAAGTTGAACAAATGTACAATATCATATTCAAATGGTAAATTATGAAGCAAACTATGGCAAATGGAAGGAATGAATTACATTTTCTTCTTTTTCTGTTACTTATTTTAACATATAGTATGTATTTAAAGTGTAAAATGTGACACTTTGGTATACATGTGCACAGTGAGCTGATCACAACTGCCAGACTTTTTTTTTTTTTTTTTTTTTTTTTTTCTTTCTGCACTGGGGATTGAACCTAGGGCCTTACACTAGGCAAGCACTCAACCACTCAATGTGTTCTTAGCTTTTTAAAAACTTTTATTTTGAGACAGAGCCTTGCTGAATTGTCCAGGCTAGCCTGGAACTTGTGGTCCTTCTTTCTCAACCTCGGTAGCTGGAATTACCAGCATGCACCACCACACCCAGCCCTAATTACTTTTTTGAAATGAGAACACAAAATATCTTTTAGTGAAATGTTATATACTGTAAACTGTATTATATACTGTAAACTGCTACTGATAATCACTGTGCTGAACATTAGCTCTCTAGAACTTACCTCACATAACTGAAACTTTATCTTTGACCATTTCCCATTCTCTCCCAACCAAAAGTCTTTCTCTGCTTCTGTTTGACTTTTAAAAATTCCTCATATAAGTGAAATCATTCAGCTATTTTCTTTTTGTCTTGCTTATTTCAAATGGTGTAATGTCTTCTAGGTTCATTTATATTGTTGAAAATGATAGGACTCCTATTTTTCAAGGCTGAATAATATTTCATTGTGACTAAAATTTCTTTATTCATCAAGGAGCACTTGGGGCATTTCTCTGTCTTGGCTATTATGAATGATGTTGGAGTGAGCATGGAAATGCAAATATCTTGGAGATATTGATTTCATTTCCATATACCAAAAGGATCGTTTGGGCTGGGGATTTAGCTCAGTTGTGCCACCACCTATCTCACAAGTGCAAGGTCCTGAGTTCGATCCTTGGTACCAAAAAAAAAAGGGGGGGTCTTTAGATCACATGATAGTAATATTTTAAAATTTATTTTAAGGAACATCTGTATTTTCTATAAGGGCGGTACCAACAATGTCTAATGATGCCTTGTCTACATATCCTCACCAATACTTAATATCTCTGATAATGGCCATCCTACTAGGTATGAGGTACTATCTTACTGTGGTTTTGATTTATTTTTCCATGATTAGTGATGTTGAGTGCCTTTCCTTTTCGGTTATGTGTGCACTGTCTCTGGAAAATGTCCATTTGGATCCTTTGCCCATTTTTAAACAAGGTTTTGTTTTCGCTGTTTAAGTTCTTTAAATGTCTAGCTGTTATTGGGTGTATATGATGAGATATATGATTAAATACTTTCTCCCAATCTGTAAGTTGCTTTTTCATTTTATTATAGTTGTTTCCTTCATTATACAGAGGGTTTTTAGTTTGTAGCCCTACTTGTTTATTTTTGCTTTTGTTGCCTTCTTTTGGGGTCATATCAAATTGCTAAGACCAATGCCAAAGAATTTTTTTCCAGTGTTTTCTTATAGGAGTTTTATGGTTTCAGGCCTTATATTTAAATCTTTAGAGCATTTTGAGTTTGTATTTGATGTGAGGTAAGGGTTGAATTTCTTTCTTCTGCATGTAGACATTCAGTTTTCCTAACACCATTTATTAAGATTGTCTTTTCCCTATTATGTAGTCTTGGTGCCTTCATCAAAAATTAGTTGACCAGATGTATGTATGTTTTTTAATGATGTTCTGTGTTCTTTGTGTCTGTCTTTATGATTGTACTATACTGTAATGATTACTGTAGCTTTGCAGTAGAATTTTAAGTCAGGAACGGGATGTGTCCAACTTTGTTCTTGCTAGAATGCCCTAGCTATCTCTGGTCTTTTATAGTTCCAACCAAAATTTAGTTTTTAAAATTTTCTTTTAAAAATGCTATTAGATAAAAGCAGCAAGTAAATATATGAAAAAATGTTCCACATCACTGGTCATTCAAGAGATGCAGATGAAAACAACACTGAGATTTCACCTCACCCCACAAAGAATGGCTGCTATGAAGAAATCACACAGCAAATGTTGGTGCAGTTGTAGGGAGAAAGGAACCCTTCTCCACTGTTGGTGGGAGTGCAGACTGGTACAACCACTATGGAAGTCAATATGGAGATACCTCAAAGAACTAGGATTAGAGCTTCCATTTTACCCAGCCATCCCTCTGTTGGGTATCTTTCCAAAAGAATTAAAAGAATCATACCACAGTGATATATGTGCACCCATGTTTATAGCGGCACAGTTTGTAATAGCTAAAACTTGGAAACAGCCCATTTGCCCATCAGTTGAAAACTGAATAAAGAAAATGTGGTTTTTCTATAAAATGGAATACTACTCAGCCATAAAGAATGAGAAAATAGATTCATTCATAGGTAAATGGATACATTTTGAGGATATCCTCCTAAGTGAAATAAATAAGTCACACATGTGTAAATACCGAATAGTTTCTCTGGCATGAAAAACTAAAATAGTACTCAAGATACTAAGGGGTTAATTAGCAATGTGAAACAGGAAAAAAAGGACCAAAGGTGTAGGGACAGTGAGAAGGGTAGGGGAAGGGGAATAAGGGAAAGGGAAAAAATATGAGAAAATGTAAAAATGGAATTAAAGTCTTTGTAGGTTGGAGGGGAAGAGGGGGTGAAGGGAGGGTGGGGACAAGGGGAAAAATGAGAACCAAGACCTGTCATGTAAAGGTACAAGATCCTAGTAATGAATGTAACTGTACTGTTTACCTAGAATGTGCCAATAAATTCAATTTTAAAAGTGCTGTTAGAATTTTGATGGGCATTGCATTAAATATGTAGATTACTACTTGGGTAGTGCAGACATATTTACAATAATAATGTTTCCATCCTTGAAGACAGATATCTTTCTACCTATTTATGTTGCCGTCAAGTTTTTTCATCAGTATTTTTGTAGTCAGATGTGTTACTTGGTTAAATTTCTTCCCAAGTATTTTAATTTTTGATGCTGTTACAATTAGATTTAAGAATTTGGGTTTCTGTTTTTGTAAAGAAATGCCTCTTTTTAATGTTGATTTTATGTCCTGCAATTTTACTGATACATTTATTAGTTTAACAGTTTTTTTTTAAGTTGAATCTTTGGGCTTTTCTGCTTACGAGATTATCTCATCTGAAAGCAGGAAGTTTTACTTCATTTTGATTTTGTTGCCTTTTATTTCTTTTTCTTTCCTAATAGCTCTGGGTAGGACTTCTAGAACAGTACTGTGTTGAATAGAAGGTAAAGAGTGAACATCTTTATCTTGTATTAGATCTTGGGGGGGCCTCTAATTTTCTCCCATTGATACTGTTTCTTGTGTAGAGGTAGGACCCACCAGTACCTGAATTAGGCGGAATGTGGTGGTGCACACCTGTAGTCCCAGCACTTTGGAGGCTGAAGCAGGAGGATCACTGCGAGTTTGAGGCCTGCCTGAACTGCATAGTGAGACCCTGACTTCGAAAACAAAGCAAAACAAATCGGAATTAGTGTTGAGTTATGTTAAATATTTTTTCTGTATCTGTTGAGGTGATTATGTGGTATACCACATCTATTGATATGCATATTTAGAATGATTTTACATTCCAGGGATAATCTTACTTGGTCATAGTGTAAAATCTTTTTGATGTGATTTTCAATGTAATTTGCTGTTTTTAAGGATTTTTATATCTTTGTTTATTAGAGATCCTGGCTTGTAGTCTACATGTGATGTCTGCATCTGGCTTTGATATTATGATCTCATAAGATGAGTTTGGAAGTACTCCAGATTTTTGAAAGAATTTGTGAAGGATTTGTACAATTTCTTTTTTGAAAGTTTAGTAGGATTCTTGAAGCCATCAGTCTTTTTCTTTTGGGGGAGTTTTTTAGTTGCTACTTTATTCTTATTTGTACTGATCTGTTTAGGCTGTTTCTTGAATTAGTCTTAGTAGGTTGCATATTTCAACAGACATACCCATTTCTTCTAGGTTATCCAATTTGTTGTCATGTAGTTACTATAATGGTCCCTTTTGATATTTTATATTTGTATTATGGTCCTTACATTTCTGATTTTACTTATTTTATTCTTTTCTTTCTTTTTGTCCCTTTAGTATCTAAGGATTTGCCAGTTTTTACTTAGGTTTGCAAAAAAGGAACTCTCAGTTTTGTTGATTTTTTTTCTGTTATCTGTTGGATTTATATTTGCTCTGATTTTTATTTTCTTCCTTCTGCTGAGTTTGGGCTTAGTTTGTCCTTTTCCTAGTTCCTATAGCATAAAACTAGGTTATTTGAAATCTTCTCTTTGGGGGTAGGTATTTATTGCTGTAAACTTCATCTTAGTACTGTTTTTCAGACATCCTGTGAGTTTTGTTTTGCCATATTTCATTTTCATTTATCTCAAGATACTTTTAAAATTACTTTTTTGATTTTCTTTTTGACGTAGTAGTTGTTTAAGAATATGCTACTTAGTTTCTATTTTTTGTTTGTTTGCATTTTTTCTTAGTTTAATGACATCTAATTTTATTCTTTTGTGGTCAGAGAAGATAGTTGATGTGATTTTCATCTTCTTAAATTTGTTAACACTTTTATCCCAGAGAATGTATGTGTTGGAGAAGAATGCATATTCTTTTGCTGTTGAACAGAAAGTTCTTTATGTATCTGTTAGGTCTATTTGGTATATAGTACTATTCCAAGTTCCCTGCTTCTTTATAGATTTTCTGTTTGGGTGTTCTATCTGCTATGAACCAAGATGCATCATGTAAAGGTACAAGATCCCAATGATGAATGTAAATGTACTGTATACCTAAAAAGTACCAATAAATTTAATGAGAAAAAAAAGAAATAGGTTATTGAATTCTCCCATTATTATTGTATTGTAGTCACTTTCTCCTTTCAGAGCTGTCAATATTTGTTGTATATACTTAGGAGCTCTCATGTTGTCTGTGTGTGTATATATATATAATTTTTATATCTTCCTCTTAATTTGATCACTTCATCATTATATAATGATGACTTTTGTCTTGAGATTATTCACTTAAAAGTTTATTTTGTCTGATATTAACTGTGCCTGCTTTCTTTGGGCTTCCATTTGTGTGGTGTCTTTTTCCCATCCTTTCACTTTCAGCCTGTATGTGTCCTTGAACCTAAAAGGAGTTTCTTTTAGATGTTATGTATTTCCATCTTAGTTTTTAATTCATTTAGTCCCCCTTTATCTTTTGATATAAGTATTTAGTCCATTTACATGATTTACGTTTCGTTTTGACTGTGATGTGCTATGGTTGGAGTAATTTGAGGGGAATATGGGACGTGAGGAGGTAGAAACTAAATAGACAACTTGAGAATTTTGAAAAGATGAATAGTAATTACAGGAAATATGAGATCTAGGGTGAATTTTTTTCTTTAAAAATGGTAGATAATATAGCATATCTCCCTGTGATTACTTTGTTAGTGCTTTAGTCTGTTTTCTATTACTATAACAAAATACCCAAGACTGGGTAATTTATAATGAAATGTTCATTTGTCTCAGCTCTGGAAGCTGATAAATCCCAAGGGCATAGCACTGTTGTCTGCTCTGCTTCTGATAAAGGCCTTCTTGTTGCCTCATAGCATGGCTGAAGGTGTCACCTGGTTTGAAAGAGCAAGTGTGCTAGCTTGAGTCTCTCCTCTAATGTCATTCCAGCCCTCATGACCTAATCTAAAGCTAATTAACCTTCCCAAAGATCCCAACTGCAAATATCATAACATGAATTTAAGGATTAAGTTCCCCGACATAAGCTTTTGGAGAACACATCCATAGTAAGTGGATGGTGAGAAGTTGATAAACATTTGATGTAGAAAGAGGCATTCATTTCTGGAAAAACTTTTTTTTTTTGTACTGGGGATCGAACTCGGGTCCTTGTGCTTGTGAGGCAGGTGCCGAACCACTGAGCTAAATCCCCAGCCCTTGAAAAACTTAAGTAGGAAAGAAGGCATTGTATTAAAAAATATATTCTTGGTCATGTCACCAGACTGGGTTTGAGAGTTTTTCAAACTTAACCCATTTTACTGTAGCAGGCTCTCTGACTCCCATTGCAGAAAAAGAATTTTTAGGACACATCAGAAAGAGGCATAAGTCGGGTTTAATAGGCAAAGATAGAGAGTATAGGACACAGTGTGAGTGCAGGTGTTCAGAAATGAGACATTTATACTTTTTTTAGAGAGGTTGAAAAGCTAGGGAAAAAAATTCCCTCCCCAGTGGGTACCATCCTGTTTTAAGGCATTTAAAAAAAATAGGTGATTTAAACATTATCTGATTTCAATCAATCTTTTGTTTGCTTTCTTTTTTTTTTTATTCATTAAATTTATTGGTACATTTTAGGTATACAGTGTGATGACATTCCTCATTGGGAATTTGTACGTTTACATGCAGGACTGCCCCAACAACAGTCCTCGGTCAGATTTATACTCGTTCCCTACCAGACTTGGGCCAATTATGGCCTTCTATTTATGAATGGGTCTTGTGGGGTACAAGTATTAATCTGACCAAGGACTGTTGATGTTGGGGCCGTCCTTATCTCAAGGCCAGGCTTCTATTTCTTATTTTTTAAATTGAGCCAATTTATGGCCTTTTAGTTGATAGGTCTACTAGGAAAGAGATGTAAATCTAGCCAAGGAATGTGGCTCAGAGCTAGCTGTCTTGGGTATTTTTGGCTAACTCCTGGAAGTTACAATCTTTTTACAAAGTATATTTTTTAGTTATGATTTCCTTTTTACTTTTAGTCCTATCTGAGCAACACACATTTCGTTTCTGGTGCCTCCATTTTCAATAGGGATGATGAATCCTAGTCAGTTGCCAACTCCATGGGAAACAAGACTCCCTGGGTGCTTTACTTGAAACAAATCTGTCATGCAGATTCCCTTCCTTTGGCCCATATTCTTAGTCTTTGTACAAGCAATTATTAAATATATTTTTAAAGAACCTAAAATCAATAGATTGGGAGCTTATAATCTGTTGCAGTGGTTTTCAACCAGGACAGTGTTTTTCCATTGTGACATTTGGCAATGCCTTTTGGATATCATGACTTAGGCACAGGAGTACTGGTGGCATCCAGTAGGTAGCAGCCACGTATACTAAACATCCTACAATGCACAGGATCTCTACTCCCAAGGAATTGTCTAGTCCAAAGTGTAAATATATTTGAAGCTGTGGAACCCTCATCTTCTCAGAGAAATTGGATACAAACAAAATTAAAACTTCAGTAGGATGTGATACAGCAATATAAAGCACTGAGGAGACCAGATGAATTTAGTTATATTTGATTGAGGAAATCAGGTTAAAGTTGTTGAAAGAAAACACTTTTGTCCTAGGTCTTTTGGAATGAGTAATGTTTTTGTAGGTGAACATAAAGATGAGCATATAGGAAAGTAAGTAACGAGCTAGTACATGGTGTCAGGAAAGTGGGTGGATATTTGGCAAGAAAAATGTAATTTAGTTTGAGTAAGGAGTGAAGTGCGTAGAAATTAATGGGAGATAAGGTTAAGAGGAAGATTGAAGTTAGATCTTGGAGGACTAGAAATCCTAGACGGAATAATTTACTTTACCTCAGTGATCTGTTTGTGCTAACTGATTCAACTATAAACATTGCAAAGGTAGGAACTTATTCCTTGCTGCGGTCCATAGTATCATAAAGTAGTAAGTGTACAAATTATTTGTTGATTTTATTTATTTATTTATTGGATTTTTGAAACAGGGTCTCACTATGTAGTTGAGACTGACCTGGAACTCACTGCCCAGGCTAGCCTTGAACTCACAGCAATCCTCCTGCCTCAGACCCCTGAGTGCTGGGATTACAGGCTTATAAGTGTGTGCCACCACACCCGGTTTATTTGTTGATTTTAATTGGTGGGCAAGATTTGGTCAGGTGTTTAACTTCACTAATTCAGTAAACAACAGATTCACATACTTGTTTTTTTTTTTTTTTATTATTCCAGAAAAGAGAAAGAACTAGTGGTCACTGAGACAGAAGAATTGAAAAAAGAACCTTTTCTGGTTTGTCCACCTTTACGAAGCCGAACATACATACCACCTGAAGATCTCCAGAGTCATTTGGAATCTCATATTAGAGAAATTTTTGGTTCATCTCTTCCCAGTAATTGGCAAGACATCTCCCTAGAAGATTGTCATAAGAAGTTCAGTCTCTTGGCACATTTAGCTGATGATTTGGGCCATGCAGTACCTAACTCCATGCTTCACCAAATGTGCAGTGTCAGAGATGTTCTTGATTTCTATAATGTTCCTGTTCAAGACAGATCTAAATTTGATGAACTTACTGCTAGTAATTTGCCTCCCAATTTGAAAATCACTTGGGGTTACTAATCATTTCAGAGAATGAACACATCAAAGTCATTTTTAATATCAGAATTCTATAAACCCACTTTGTGTAGAGAAGAATGCATTTTTTCCCTCATAGCATGATTCAACGAAGAAATAACATTTTTTTCTTTTCACATTTGCTGAAACCATATTTTATTGGAATCAAGTTAATAACTTATAGAAATACTTTTCTTCAGAGAACTCTGTAATTGGGTTTAAGATAGGAAGCTGTCACGAGTTCAGATGTTAGTCTTCTTAGGCATAAAGCAGTAATTGCAAGAAAATGCTCTAATACTGTTAGGACTCTTTAAGATGGAATTATAGTATATATACGAATAAGGAAACTTGTATTAGATATTAATAAAAGAAAAAAGTTGTATATTATTGAAAGTTATATGTTTCCTTTACTACATGAGTATAAATCATAGCGAATATATTCAATTCTGGGTTAATTTCTTAGAATTAAAGATTTCTTACAGAGTACTGTGTATTTTTAGTGAAATTTGCTTTTTTTTTTTTGTCTTTCATTTCCTTAAAATAAGTATTTTACAAATTAAAATATGTGGTAGCTATTAAGTGCGGTGACTTCTTAAAAAGATAGAGCTGAGCGTGGTGGCACAGGCCTATAATCCCAGCACATGGGTGACTGAGGCAGGAGGATCGCTGTGAGTTCAAGACCAGCCTGGGCTACATAGTGAGTTCCAGGTCAGACTCAACTACATAGTGAGACCCTGTCTCAACCCCCCCGCAATAAATAAAAAGAGATAGAGATGGCATATTTTATGTTATGTATTTCTATCTTTAGATAAATGCGTATGTCAAACTTTTTGTCTCACAACTTTAAAAGTAGTCTTATGATACCTATGAGTATTTATTGGAGGGCAAATCTTGGTAATCTGATATACTTTGTAATTTGTGAAAATTAGTCAAATAGAAATTCAATGATTCTCAATGACAAAATTACTGGTCACAGTAGAAATTGTTTCAGGCTTTAAATATGGTTAATGAGAGGAGAAAGAAATTTCTCACATTTTTTTCACTTGACTACTGACAATTCTGAAAGATACAGGATTGGTTTAAATAAAGGAAATTATATTCTCTTTTCCTAGTTGAGTTCTTTGACAGGGAAGAAAATAAATGTATAAATTTGAGCATAACAGGCAGCTATGCTCACTGCTGTGCCACCAGTGCACAGTGACATACTCCATTGGAAAATTAGCAGTACCATCATGCCCTAGAAAATCACAGCGGTCACCACATTCAAGATCTTGAGAAGTGTCAGTATCTGAGTTTAGATACTACTGATAAAATTGCATCCTTTCTGCTTTTACTCTATGAAAGAAAGATTCAGCATGGAAATATTTTTGAGCTTCATATAAAGGATTTGATCATCATGTTTCCCACACAGGGGCAAGATGAAAATAGAAATGGAGAAGTCAGTGTGAAAACACTCTTATTTACAACCGGAGAAATACCATAACTGCAAAAACCAGGATACATTCTTTGTTTAAGACAGGAAATTATTTACACCTTTGTAGCCTAGAGCAGCAGTATTTCTCCAAATATAATTGTATATATGAGTCTTTTGGGAAACTCTTAAAGTGCAGAGTCTAATGTTGGTCTGGAAGTTTTTCTGAGCTGCAAGTCTTTAAACCTTATAGCCAGTGCTGGCAATGTTTTGAGTAACATGGCTCTAGACCCTACTCCCTAGTATTGAAATGGGAGAATGATACTCTTTCCTGAAACAACAGTTCTGGCAAATTTAGCTGACTGGGAAGATATGCCGTACAACCATCAGTAATTATAGAGGACATCATTGGCTGATAGTGTATTTTAGAATAATGATCTTTCGTTCTTTGACAGCAAAAGGAAAGGTTTGTTAACTTACTGAAGTATTGTAATCACATTTAAAAAAATGCAATTATTGCTGTATGAAAGGAGTATCGGTTAATTTTTACTTAACAGATTTCTATAAGCACTATGTTTACATAAAAACTAATGAAATTACAAATTCATGGTCAATAGGGTCTTATGTAAACAACATGTTTAAAGTATAAGAATTCTATTTTAATTTTAACATTTTTCTGATTAGAAAATTTGGAAAGAAGATTCATCACTAATATGCAAATAATTTAATTCAGCTATAATTCTAAATGAAAAAAAAATATTTTCTGTGTTTTCCAATTATGGCATCATATTCCCTTAGATTTAGTCTAAGAAAAACAAATTTGGCTAGCGGCATATTATTCCATAATTTGGTGTTACAAATTATCCAACCAGTAGTCTGATTTAGAATATTTAGATTACTTTTTGTTTTCACTTTTTTTCTTGGCTTTTGTAAATTTCCTCTTATTCAGAAATCATGTAAATGTTTTGAACCTAAATAAGAATGGACAACTTGATCCTGCTTCTTTGACTTGTAATTTCTTTAAGAAATTTTCTCATACACAAAACAATAGAAAACTTGAAAATACACAGACTGTCAACCTGCAGTTGCTTTTTTAAATTCTCTCCCTCTGGGTTTTTGTTTTGAGGCAAGGAAGGACACAACAGAAGAGCAAGCGCTGGAGAATGGTATCAGGTGTGGTTTTATTGCTTTCCCTAATTAGAAGGGGACAAAGATGCCACGGAAGCATGTGATTTTAGAATCATGTGATTTTAGCACTTGGGAGGGCAGACAAAGGAACAGAGGATGTGCAAAAATGAGGCATGTCGCTGTTTGCTGCTGTTGCTGCTACTTTTCCAGGCTTCCTGTCACCAGCAGATTTCAATTTTGATTGCACTTATTTTTCTTGAGGCTTTCACCTTGTCTTAATTTAGTTTGTTTAGGCTTTTGCTCTGTCTCTTTGTTCTTTGGTCTTGAGCACCCCAAACCCCCAACAGTGGTGACCTTAACCGCAGTTAGGAGTGTGTGATGTCAGTCACTCTAGATGTTTTGTGCTGATGGGTGCTGGCAGGCAGCAGTCAGGACCATCACTAGGAGGTCTACTTAAGGGCCTGTTAGACCTGAATTACAAGCCCATGCTAAATGACAAAGGGCCTAGGAGACAGTGCTCTAACCCCCTCCCATTGTAGCCATAGCCCCGACCTTTGTTCAAACCCTGGCTTAGGACTGTAAGGCAATCTTGTACTGTTTGAAGTCTGAATCCTGATTAACATGTAAGTTAGTGGTTCTAAACGATGAGATACATAGAGACCCCAAGTTAATTGTCAAACTGTTTGCTCATCCGGAATGTTTTGGTGACCTGTGAACCATCCTATAGGTATCTGTTACTCATCAATGTGTGACTGCTGAGTACATGGCTGCTGACCACCAGCTCAAATCAACAGCCCTTTGTCCCCTGCCTGCAAGCTTAAAATGTTAACCCCCCTTTTTACCCCCTATAAAAAGGACCTCAGCCCCTGAGCTAGTGCCTCTCTGAGCTACTTGGTTCTGAGAGCGCTGTCTGGCCAGACTAATAAAGGTCTGTTTACCAACTAGCCTGGTGTGTTCCTTCCTGGGTTTCTCTCTGCTTGTCTAGCTCCTGGAGCCTCGCTGAGCTTTAGGACCCAGCAACGTGGAGGCCTTTCGGCTGTTCACGCTCCGGTGGAGTGGGAGTGAGACTTTGAGTCTTACAGGCCTTGAGTAATTGGGAGAAGTGTGGGTTGGAAAATCTGTATTACCATCTGTAACTTTAAAGTTGTATATATATGTTTCACATCTCAGATTTGATCACTTGCAGATTGAAAATATCTGAAAAAATTAAAAATATCTGAAAGACAATTGTCTCTAGTGAACATACACAAACTTGTTTTTGTCATTCTTGTCTAAATAGCACAGTACAACGTTTTACATAGCATTTACATTGCCTTAGGTATTTGTAGTTTAGTGATGATTTAAACTATAGGTGGAAGTGTATAGGTTATGTACAAATACTGTATCGTTTTATGTGAGGTACTTGAAAGCCTGTAAATTTTAGTGTCTATGGTAGTCCTTGAACTGGTCACCCTTGGATACCAAGGTACCCATAATTGCCAGGCACCACATGTTACCACAGAGTGGTGCTCAGATGCTAACGTAAGCAGTCTTATTTTAAAGAGTTTTATGCCTGTGTGCTGTGTATTTCTCACTATTTTAGACTGGTTGGCCAAAAAACAACATTGTTGGTTGGGGAATAGACATCACAGCCTCATTTTTTTTTTTTTTGGCATTTAGGAATTTATAAGTCTGATATTTTAAAGATCTTTTTATCTGATGTGAATTATTTATTTAAAGACTATAACATATAAGTTGTTTTTTTTTGTTTGTTTGTTTGTTTGTTTTTAGTTTTAGCCATAATAAGCCAAGGCCCTGTGCTTTTAAAGGACAATTTTAGCTAAGGAATTTAGAGATTTGGGTTGAATTTGTATGGCTGTCACTGGCTTTTTAGCCTCATTGAACCACAATAGAAACAAGCTACAGGTGTAGCTATAGACTGTCAGCAGGGGTCAGTATAGTACTTGGGATCCTTTTGTAGATATAAAGTGCAATACTAATTTTTATATTTCTTGTTATACTTTTTTGCTGGGTGTTTACCTTGTGCCTGTGAGGCATTCGGTGGCACCACTGAGCTAAATCCCCAGCCCATTACCGGATGTTTAAGACCAAGTTAATTTAAGACCTTTGTCAGTTAAAATTAACTTCTTGCTATGTATCAAAGTCAGTTAAGGATTGATTCTCAGAGGTTACTTTTGGTACCATGTACAGAGCCTATAGTCTCCTTAGTTAATGTCATCTCCCAGGATGAGTCAGACTTGCTTGACTAAATGGCTTTCCTTAGAAGCCTGGGAGAAGTTTTGGTGACATTCCTTTTAGCACAATGTTGTGGGTTGACCCCAGTCCTCTAGAGTCTAATAATCATTCTGCTCCAGAGGTTAGGTGATTCATCTGAGTTGTAGGATCTTGAAAAGAGATCCGCTCGTGTCTTGGGTCCTTGTTTACCTCATTAGGGCCAGGACCTCCACAAGTGATTCTTTGCATGATTCTAGTTGCAAACCAAGTCGGACAAGAAACAAATCAAATTCAGTGGTTAGGTTTAATGTTTACCTTATAGGGAAATTTGATTTGGTTCCTGTCCAGTTCAGTTTGCGACCAGAATCATGGAGAGAATTGATTATTTTATTTTTATTTTTATTTATTTATTTATTTTTGTACCAGGGATCGAACTTGGGACCTTGCACTTGCGAGGCAGGCAGCGGCACCACTGAGTTAAATCTCCAGCCCCATGATTGTTTTAGAAGTCAAATTCTTATAGAGTATTACCAGATAACAGTTACAAGTTTTATAGGGAAAATTTGAAATCAGGAGCAAAGATAACATTTTAGCATAACAATTATGTTTATATCATTAAGTTAGAACCATTGGGGTTTTTAGCTCTAAAAGTATATTTAAATTCTTATTTTATAAAAGCTTGTCATAGAGAAGAGATGTTGATTGTTAGGTGGGTTATTTGTTTACCATTATAAAACCAAGTTTGAGGCCTTGTGTTTTTTTCCTCCTTTTTAACATATTTGATGGCGGGGGGAGCAGCCCTTTAAAATCTTTCAGATTGGCCCCAAATTCATAAAGTAAAACCTAAAGATGATGTTATGGGGAACAAACAGCTATCTATACTTATTTAAGGTATATATCTTTAAGATCTCTTTTGT